GGCAAGCCCCGAATGTAAGCCATGCACTCAACACGGAAGAATGTATGCAGCCCTGGATTCAAATTCCCCCCTCTGCCATTTATTTATTTATTTATTTATTTATTTATTTATTTATTTATTTATTTATTTCGAGACAGGGTTCCTCTGTAGCTTTTTGGTTCCTGTCCTGGAACTAGCTCTTCTAGACCAGGCTGGCCTCAAACTCACAGAGATTCGCCTGCCTCTGCCTCCCGAGAGCTGAGATTAAAGGCGTGTGCCACCACCGCCTGGCCCCCTCTGCCATTTATTATCTGTTGAGTTTGGGTAACTGACTTAAGTTTTACAGTTTCAATTCCTTATATGTCAAATGAATGTAGTAACAACATCCTCTGGAGGACTTCCCTTTGAGGAATCAACCTTCCCTGTCGTACTTTCAAAGCCAGGTATCCAGCCCAGGTTTTATTAAGAAGAACCAGAGGCCGAGAGCCTTGACCCAAGAGGCTGTACATATTCACTCTGGCTTTTTGCTACGGAGTCTCATTTAATGAGGAAATTAAAGCAGAGAGTAGACAGAATCCAGAGACAGACCTTGAATCATACCATATGGATTTCTAAACCTAGCTGAGTTTTGTGAGTGTGTGTGTGTTTAATGTATACAAGCTAGTAAATTCACCTTTCAGCTTCCTTTAGTGTAAATGAGGATAGTACTACAGCTCAAAATGCTTTTGTTAATGCAACCATGATTGGTCAGTATAAAGGTGAAAGCTTAGCAATTGTTATTATGTCAGTATGTCTTAGATTTAATTTAGGCTGTTGCCATAAAGGGATTAATCTACACCAATAGCCTTCACTGTAGATGGGGAACATTTACAATCAAGGACCCCCAGCCTCATCACACTGGTGGCCAGAGAAAAAGTATCTACAAAATCCCAGGGAAGGAAAGCCCATCATCTTTGGTAGGGTGGTGTCTTTCTTTGGAAAAGAGTTGTTTCTATTCTTGCTGATGACAAGCACGTATGTGTGTCTTCATGTGGGTACAAGTATGTGAGTGGCAGGAGCCCACCCGGAGTGGGTGTTCTAGGCAGCTATGCATTGCCCACAGTGTGAGCACAGGAACACACTCGGGTGCTCTGGAAGAGAACTCTATACTCCTAACTGCTCGGGAGACTCCCAGTGTGTCTCTTAAGGAGCTTGTTAAAGGGGAGAGCCAGAGAGGATTCTACAGCAGGCCTGGGAATCTGCATGCATTGTGTACACCACAGAGCTACTGAGGGGCCACTCACGCTGGCTGCTCAGATGGGTATAGGTCCTCCCAGCTCTTTCAGGGAAAATTGGAGATTCAGATGAAGCAGTGAAGGAATTCTCACAATGGGAAAATTTTCATAATGATTTAGGCAACCTAAAAGGACTCTGAAGACCAAGACAGAGTGTAAGCAGCAATTCTGAAGCCAATTTGGCAAATTTTGAGGCGTCTAAGCGCTAAAACTGGAAGAGTGTGGGCTCTGCATTTAGTCTACTCTGTGACTCTTTTCTAAAAGTGGAAGCAATATAGAATAAAATCAAAAGTTTGAAAATTAATTTCAAGCTTGTGTCCTCATCAATTTCATTGCAATAAACTGCAGTCACTTTGCAGAAGGTCACAGAACACAATCAACAAAGGTGACCTTCGCGAACTCATCCCAGCTTTGAACAGAACAGTCATAATGAACACAATTCAAATAATTGTTGAGGAGCGCTTGCACTGGACTCCACAACGCACAGAAGACAGCGTGGCGAAATGGAATCAATTGCCTCTTAAAGGGAACACCAGAGTTTACCAGAGGAAGAGCTGTCGTTGACTGTGACGGGCAGGGACATCCTGCGAGGCTCAGACAGCAGAGCAACAATAAACCCATTTCCTGCTGTACAGCACATCTGCCTTTGTTGAGGGTCAGTGGTTAAATAAGAGTCAGTGCTGTGACTAAATCACAGAAGCGCAGCCAGCTCTTCTGAAAATGGGTTCTCCAGGAGAACCGAGCTCATATGCCATGGAACGCCTGTGGGATGAAATGGGCTGGCACCCCAACACATGCAGAATGGCAGTCTCTGTCTAGCGGCAGAGAATTTTTCAAAGGGCTTACTTGCCAACAGAAACCCAGCTGACAAAAGCTAACGGGTATTCCATGGCCTGAAAGTGCATAGGCCAGGCTATATAACTGAGCGACAATTTTCTTTTATTGTAAGCAAGGTGGCCCAGCAGCACTAACCGTGGTTCCTGGAATGATTTAAAGCCTCCCCAGGAAAGCCAAGAACTAGGAGAGTGGTGGTCATTGTCCCCAAGTCCCACTTTGACATCAGTAAGCAACTTTATGCGTTCCCGTCCATGATGTCAGTGACACTCAGCGGCCACAGAGCCACACAACAGAACCTAATCCACAGTGTGGCCACCTCGGACTCATGACAGCCGTTAGTCACTGAGACACAAAGAGCATTTTAGTGTGCAGAAAGGTGATTCAATCAAAGGACAACAGCAGGTCCGCTAAACAAAATCTAACTCATTTTGTAGCTGGGGCTTTGTAAAAGGCTTATGCATATATTATAAGCTTATATTTATTTATAAATATATAACCTCTATTATTAGAGGTTCACTATACCAGATTTTGACTTTTGTGTCATATTCTGCTAATTCACTATTCCAATATCCACTCCTTCACTTCTGACTTAGAAGAACTATATTTTCTTTCTCTTCTGGTGATTTCTTGTAGATTTACACTGTATTTAGATTTTATACAACCTACACATCTTCCCTCCCATTCCTTCTGGACCCCCTTAGGACCTTTATTTTTTTCTTCGTTTAAAAAATAATGAACTTAATTTATTGAAAATTTTATACAACACATTTTGATTACATTTGCCCCAATTTCTCTTTTAACTCCTCCCAGATTCCCTTCCCCATGCCTACCCCTATTTCTGTGTGCTCTTTGTAATTTGTGCTGTCCGGGTACCACTGGATGTGGAGCCATCCTCCAGATGTGCAGCTGACCCACCAGGAGCCACATCCTGCAAGGAAACTCATTCTCCCTTCCCCAGAAGGCACAACTGTGCATCTTCAGTCCGGGGTAAGGGCTTGTGGACCCCATTCCACAGAACCTGTATTTTTAACTAGACACATTGATAGACATTCAAGAAGAATCCCACCTCATTTTTTACTGATGGATAAAGTCCATGGAGACTCTCACAGGCAGGGAGGCTGCAAGTGACAGACCAGAAGGATAAACCATCCTGTGTGGGCACACTGCTGTCCAACACCCCACACTATTCTTTCCCAGCTGCTTTGATAAAAGCAATTATGGGAGGTGGCTTTAGCTGAGGTCACTGTTCAGTGGTTCAGCCCAAGGCAGGAAAGTAAAGGAGGCAGGAGTGTAGAGCAGCTGGTCACATGATGCCCAGAATAAGGGCCAGAAAGTCATGAATTCACACTGCTGCTCAGTTCTCTTTATTTCATAGTCCAGAATCCCAGCCAGGGAAATGGTGCCACCCAGAGTGGGCAGATCTTCTCATCTCAACTAACACAATCAAGACAATCCCCACAGGCATGCTCAGAGGCCTGTCTCTCCAGAGATTCTAGATTGTTATCAGCTTTACAATTAACACTAGCCACCATAATTGTCAGCCTCTTGACTCTTTTCAACACGATGAAAAAGAAGACACCTTTGACCACGCTTAATCCTCTCTTTCAAGTGGCAGAGCATACCGCTAATAGAAATAATCCATGTGCATTTCTTAGTCAATGCCAGGTGATATAATCAACAATTGAGGTCAAATAGTTGAATTAGTTTGCAACACCTAAACTGAACATACCAAAACAGTAAAAAGAAACACAAAACCACATATCCAGTAGTAAACATTTTAGGGTGACACTCCACTGGTAATAAATACAAGAACAAGATTTTCCTTTTATTAATCATTATAATTAATTATTATACTGTGATATATAATTAATTATTATACTGTAAAGCATAACTTAGAGAGCAAAGTAGATCAATAATGAAGAAGGAATAAACAAACAATTGATACTATGTGTGATATTTACAGATTGTTATAGGTTTTCTGGAGAGCCTTACAACACTCATAATTACCGGAGTTAACAGACTCCTGTGACATTACAGCTAACACGCAGACAAACTGTGTACCCTTTCTCTCTCTCTCTAAAATCTGTTTCTTGGTTATTGATATCTCTGTGTGACTCATTCACTGATGACTGCTTATATTCAGTATTTTACTTCTGACCAAATGGAGACTTTGTCTTTCAGCTTTCATGTACAACATAAAAAGAGAGACATCATAGAAAAGTTCCCAGGACAATAGAATATTATTAACATGTTTTTGATGTTCGATGAATCCTTTAAAATCTGAGTTCCATTCTACAATCTTGAAAAGTTATTAAAATATTTTAAATTAGACCAAACAAAAAAAATGAAAGCAATAGATTGTGTTTAGTGCAAAGACTAAAGGAATATCAAATCGCTTTGATCATCCACGCACAAGTTTGGGTTAGAACTTCTCTCTAATAAATAGGAATGTGTGGGTGATTACTTGGTCAAAAATATTTTATTTCTGAAAATATTCATTTTAAATGTAGTATGAGAATTTTACAACTATCCAAGATCTTCCCTTTAGGCAAACAGTGAAGCCCCATCTCTTCTTTGTAATCTCAGTAGTATACTCCTAACACTTTGGAATCCTTGCTTCTCCTTCAAATGCAAATGTCCGTGGTTATGTTTATGTAAATTATTGGCACACAGTATACGTCTAACCGCCTGAGGCAGTACGTAGTACTGAATTTAATTGGAGTGATTTATTCTTGGCCTGCTCAGTCGGCTATTGCAGATTCTTATTTCTTCACATGAATCACAAATGTGAAAGGTTCTGAAATATTTAGAAAGATCGCTTTTTTGGCAAATATTTTTTTCCTGTCACTCACATCTTTGCTACAACTGTATAGCTAATGAGATGACGTGATTTAAAAAAAAATGCCTTACCCCTGTGACGTCCATAACCTTAATGGCTGCAAGCTGTCCTGTTTTGACATGACGACCCTGAAAGAAGAAAAAAAAAACAATTTCAAAAGACTGAGCTGTGATGAGTGTGTTAGTTTTCTGTTCCAACCATGTAAAGATTAACGCCTGGATCAATGTTATAACATGCTAAAACCAGACCGACGAAAACAGAGATAGACAGCAGAAACGCTTTGAAGATCGAATTCTAGTTAGTAATTATTTCTTTAAAACACTGCCTATTATGTCCTATTATGAATGGAAATTTTGGACAATTCAGTTTTATTTCTATGAAAAGTACTCGATAAGGGCTTTGTGAGTGGCAGATTCACACAGAAGTAGAGACCAGCCTGGATGGAGGGGGCAAGTAAATCTCAGAATTTAAGAAACTTGAGAGACTTTTTTTTTTTCAGTTCTTAAAACATTTTGCATTTTGGGCTGGGAACAGGGCTTAGTGGTAGAGTACTAGTCCGGCATGCACAAGGCTTTAGGGCCAATCAACATGACTGAAAACAACATCAACTGGCTGTGACTGCCATTGCCAGCTGGGTGTGGTCAATGTGTAGAGCCAACACCCAGCGATGGGGAAGGGAAATGGGAATTATGACTTTCAACTCATCATCCCCAAGAGCATCTGAAAATTTAGCTTCCACAGTGACAGAGGGGAACAGTACTACTGGGACTCGGCACCAAGGCTGGGGACTCCTAACTTCCAAGTTCGAACAGCCAAGCTCACAGGAAGCCACAACAGCTACAGCGCTGTGGTGATGAGTCCCAGAGAGCTGTCAGCGTCACGGAGGTCTGAGGAATATTGTCATGCTGTGTTGTCTTCAGAAAGAGACCCACAGCTAGCTTCAAAGACGGTTAACCACATCTAGAACAAGTTTCTCCTCTGAAGAACTGAAAGTCAGAAGAGCACCTATAGACCAACACAGGGCGTTGATTTGATATCATCCAACCAATCTATGTTACAGTTCTCTGAATGAGGCAAAGCAGTCCTTCAGGTGGCCAACAGCGCTCCCCAAGAGCTGACCTCCCTTGTGCAAAGCACCTTGATAGAGGCCCCCCGGCTCTGACCCTGTGGCCCAACTGTTTGCAGTTCTCCAAACACTATTATTTTTAGCCTCTGGAATGGTCTGTCTTCTAGGTCTTTGCCTTCCTGATCCTGCGATGCATCTACATGTTTCTAGATTTAATTAAAGTTATCGCTCCTCTCCCTGTCAGTCAATCCTCACCCCTGTGCTACCACGGAGCAGGAAGTTCCATCCTTGCTTGGTGCACGTTTCATCAGCCTTCTCCCTGTGGTCTCGACTTCCTTTCTCTTCTCTCCGCTGTCATGTGCAGCACCAACCCTGAAACTGACCCTAATGGCATCTCCTCTGCTCAGGACTTTGATCATCCAAGTCTAGACATTCTCTGGATCCCTTTCTCCAGACGTGGTACGTCTGTCTACATAGAAACACTATGCATGAGATCTTTAGCTCCTTCAGAAGCACGGACTCTTCTTGGAGTGAATAGTTTGGTACAGGGGGCCCCAACATCTAATTAAAGAGCAGCAGCTGGGGTAGAATAAAGCCACTCTTCAGAGGACAGAGGGGAGAACCATCCCTGCGAAGTTTCCCACAGAAGGCCCTGGCAAGGTCTTGGTTTGAAACCAATAAAATAACCCCTACTTTAAAAAGGAAGGGTTTATGGTAGAGCTGACACATGATCCGACCGATGCCATGTTGGGATGGCAGGTTGGGCTTACACGAGTCTGCAAACGGAACGATGAACAGCGGGCCTCAGGCTTCCTCACACTGGAGCAGGGAGGCTGCTGAGCTGTCAAACCCTGATGCTCAGGAAGGAGCACAAGGACCAGGGAGGACCCTGCTCAGCGTGAGCTGCCTTTGACATCACTGGAGAGTGTCAAAGCTGGTTAGCATCCAGATTAAGGCAGACCTTCAGGCAATGGTTCTGAGTTAGCTGACTTCAAGGTCATTAAATGTCTGAGGCACAGTTAGGATGGAGGCACTTTTCAAGGAAACCGCATCACAAAATCGAGAGTAAATTGATCAAAACATCACCATAATGCACACAAACAATCCTATTCTTTTAGGGATAAGGCTCAAGTCTCACAGTGAAAGAGACCCCTATATCAGGACATATTATCCTCTATCCCATTTCTGCCACCCAGAACGTGGGTTACAAATCTTACTGTTGAAATTCAAAAATGATTTTTGTTTGGTTTCCTTAAACATTGTGTGTATGTATACATATGGTGTGTACATGTGTCTGAGTGTGTGTATGGATGGATGGATGGATCCAGGCATGTATGTGTATATGTTGGTGTCTGTATGTGTGTGTATGTATGTGTGTATATGTATGAGTGTGTGTATGTGTGGCATGGCGTGTCTGTATGTGTTGGTGTGTGTATGTATATGTGCATGTATGCATGTATGTGTATGAGTGTGTGTTTGTGTGTGTGTGTGTGTGTGTGTGTGTGTGTGTGTGTATGTGACCCGTCTCAGTCAGGTGTTGGTCCTCACCTCTCTCCCTTGTTCGAGACAAGGTCTCTCTCTTCTTTGGACATTTCTTCATATGCCAAGCTAGTGGGCCCTTGGGCTTGCAGTGGTCTCCTGTCTTTACTTTCTATCTCACTGTGAGAGCGCTGGCTTTATAGTCATTTTGATTAAAACTCAGGTCCTGTTGTGAGGCAGAACCTTGCTCCTGAAGTCATCTCCCCAGCCCCTTGCTTTCTTTCTGAGACAGTTTTGGGTAGCTCGGGCTGGACTTGAATTCACTACATAGCCAAGGATGCCCTTGAACTCACAATCCTCTGCCCTTATATCACAAATGCTATATGCTTGAATTACAAGATTTTTTTAAAAGAAAAATCATATTTCACATAAGTTAAACACTGATCTGTTCACCTCTGCTTCACATAGATCTTGTTTTGTAACTTTCTAAAAATCTGAAGCCAGGACAGCAGGCGGATCTCACTACCACAGGGGAACAGTGATGTGAAATTTCCACATTCCTACCAAAAACTTTAATATTTCTTGCTACTCTTAAGAGTAATTAAAAATACAAATATAGACATCATTTGAATTTGAATCTAATTTGTAAGTCCAATGAAAAACAGAAAATTAAATTTCTATGAAAGGAAAACAATCTTCTAAATGGAGACAAAGAGTTAGTCTGAAACTACTGAGACATTTCTGAATAAAAGTATAAACTATTTTTTTTCTTCTGAGATATTTCACAGTAACAAAAGGTAATGAATAGACTAAAATCTAGAAAAAAACACACAACTAAAATCCTACTGCTAAATAAAACGGTGTAGAAAAACTGTCCAAGAATGAATGAGGAAGGGCTTCTGGGAAAGCCAGGAGCCTATGGCATTAACAAAATGATCTGAATTCGAATGCAGACACTGGATCCCAGGCACCCACAAAGAAAACCAGGTACAGCTGCGCATTGGATCCAGGCACCCTCAGAGGAAACCAGGCATAGCCGGGCATACGTCTAAGCCTGGCACTGGGTTTAGAGGACAGCAAAGACAGGTGGGTGCCTGCAGTTGTTGGCCAGCCAGACAAATGGAATAAATGAACTCCATGCTGAGAGAAAGACTCCCTGTCAAAAACTATGAAGAGCTATGGAGGGTGATATGCAACAATGACCTCGGGCTTTCACAGGCACACACACAGTCTCTCTCTCTCTCTCTCTCTCTCTCTCTCTCTCTCTCTCTCTCTCTCTCTCTCACACACACACACACACACACAGAGCAGGGAAGCAGGTCTGTGGAGATCACAGGTGCTGAAGATTGTGGGTCAGTCAGTCACAAATTTACTCTTTCCCATTTCCATCTTTCTGCGCTGTCACTTTGATGTGAAGACCTGGGTGGAGTCTCATTCCATACAAAAGAGTCAATACCAAAACAAAACGCGACCCACCCAAGCATGCTCAGACTTTCCTCTGTCTCCTCCATAAAATAACTGCAAGAGAAAAACAACCATTTCCTCAGAAAAGATTGTGGAAGCATAGACTGTGGTGTTATTTTCTGAAAAACAGCCAGCCAGCTGTGGAGCCGCTAGCCAGAGGCTAGCCTGGCAGAGAGTGCTTTCATTTCTAGGTCAGCAAAATGCATTTTTTTTTTCCTAAGGAAGCACACATGGCAGATCAGACAGTCTCTGTGCTGTCTCACCCTCCCATTCAAGGCTGCATACTCTTTTGAATTAGCTTAGAGACGATCTCCCCTCTACAAGAAAATGTTCTTCACTTTCCCAGCTGCAAATGAATGCACCGCCTTTGCATTTCCACAGCGTTCTATGCTAACCCCTGCTGATCCCAACCAGTATTGTTATTTTCATTTCTTTTTTTTTCAAATATGCATTTTCAGAATAATGAAAATAAATGAGATCAAACAAATAGAAGGACTGACAATGTTGCTCGGTGGCAGAACAATTTCCCAGGATGCACAAGGCCCTAGGTCCATACTAACCACCAAGGAGGAGAGAAGATGTGCAGAACACATAGTAATGGCCGGTGTTGCCTCATGTACCAATTTAGGCTATATCTATCTGTATCTGTCCATCTGCCTGTCTGCCCATCAGTCACTGGTGCCACAGTATACCATCTTGAGCAGTGGTCCTCAGCCTTCCTGATGCTGAGACCCTGTAACACAGTTTCTCATGTTGTGGTGACATCAAAACATAAATTATTTCATTGTTACTTCGTAACTGTAATCTTGCTATTGTTATGAATCACCATGTAAATATCTGATATGCAGGACATCTGATATGTGATCCCCGTGAAAGGGTCATTTAAGCCTCAAAGGGCTTGCGATCCACAGGTTGGAAACAGCTGATCCGGAGTCTCCACCACAAATTGAAGTGCCAGGAAGCTGTCCCTCATCACAACCCTCTCTGAGGATGGCTCTCAGCAGAAGGGGGTCACCCCCACTTAGAGTCATGTTCCCACTTGGAGTATATCGGAAGATGGTGGAAGTATTGGAATATGAGAGCTGGACATGGTCCAGATACGCAGAAGGCTAAAGACCT